CTCCAAGTATAGCAGGAAAAAGGAATGAGTTCTTTATTTGGTCCCTGAGCTCACTATGAATGTGGCAATGGTGGAAGAAAATAATCAATGTGATACTTTGTTGTATTAAAAAGAAAGAAAAGGGAAACAATCTTTCTTCTGTCCTCTAAATTATTTAGAGACTTGTTAGAAAATTATATACATGGAGAGGAAGAGGGGAGAGATTTGATTGGAAATAAAGGCTTTATGGAAACCAAAAATATCAATAAATACTTTTTAAAAAGTATGTCTAGGTTGAGGGATATAAAGAAATTGGAGCAAAAAAAAAGGAAATTGGAGAATACTGAGAATATTAAAAAAAACTATAAAGGGAATGAAGAATAAACCATTTGAAGAAAAGTTAATTATTTAAAAATTTTAGTGTACTCATGGTAAGCACAAGAATAGAAGAAATTGTGTAAAGCCATTAAGGGGTAAAAAAGATAGTAAAGAATTATAATAATAGAACTATTGCATAGGTATATATGAATCACTGTTAAAGTTTACAAAATGCTTTTCCCTGTGAAGTAGGTGGTGCAAATATATTATATTCATTTTTCCAGATAGTGAAGTGAGGCCCAGAGAGGTGGTAATTTGTCCAAGATCACACAGCTAGTAAATGCCCAAGCTAGGTCTCTCCTGATGACAAATCTCCCTTCCTACCACCATGCAGCCTTTTCAGAGATGTTGTGAAGGGTCCAGAGATAATTCTTGCCAAATATTTTGTGGGGCAAAGGTTTGTAAAAAGAATTACATGGAGTGGGGATAGCAGGAGCCATGGGAAAGGGTGGTTGTTATGCAAACATTTAATAAGCACCTGTTGTATGAGGAATGCTGGTAAGAGATAACAAAAACAAACACAACTTCATCTCTACCTCCAGGAAACATTTTCAGGAGCCAGGTCCCTGGAGGGGGTGGCTGAGGGACAAATAAGGTGGGGGCAGAGGGCAGAGGTTATGGGATGTCAGTAGGTCCGAGGCGTTCAAGGAAGGTGTCTGTACCTTAGAAGGCGGGAGATTTGGATTATAGGAGTGGAGAAGCGGTGCCTCTGTTTCCATGTGCCTAGCTTTCCAGGGCAGGAGAACATGTATGTGTGCTTTAGAGAGGGGTGCTTTTCACTTTGGGCACCATTTTCTGAAAGGGGGAATTTCTTTCTACCTGATCCTTAGAAGGAAAACAGGAAGCAGCCCCAAAACAAAAATGTAATGACTGGTCTGTATTTGGCACCTTCCCACCTCCTCTTCATCACCTCTCTCCTACCTTCTGGTATCTCCCAGACAAAGATAATTAGGAGACAAAGGGACTTTCCCAGAGCCCAGCCAGAGATTCTGGAAGGTTGGGGCACCCTGAGATTTGGAAATCATCATCTCCTTCCTCAAGCCCCAGAGGGTTTATTCAAAGACTAACAGCATCTTTTAGGTGGAAGAGCCATGTTACCTAGATGGGTCAAAAGAATAGCTCTCATAGGATTTGAGGTTTTGAGCTAGAAGGGGGTTTAGAGGTCATCTATTCCAGAGGCGTCGAGTTCAGTGTAAGCAACACACAAAACTCCCCAGTGCAGCCCAAATTAAAATTAATTAATTAAAATATAATTGCAAAATATTTAACAAAATAAATAAAAATAAAGTACAGCAAAGATAATGTTAATTTGTAGTTTTCTAAGTCAATATGTGGTCCACAGGGACCCATTTCTATTGGAATTTAATGCCACTGATCTAGTCTAACCTGTTCTTGAGAAGATTAAGCGATTTAACCAAGGTGACATAGCGACAGAGGTAGGATTTGAACCCAGGGCCTTTGACTCCAAAGCCAGTGTTCTTTCCACTGAAGTATACTATAGCCTTTGTAAATGAATAGAATTACAATGTTAAAACTGGGAATCATAATTGCCTTTAGTCTGCAGATAAGGAAATTTCTCAAGCAAAGTGCAATGATACATCAAAGGCCACTGAGCAAATTTGCGGCAGAGCTGGGCCTAGAATCCAATTCTCCTGACTCCTGGCGTAGTGTTATGCCTACTGAGCCACACTGCCTAATGGCCTAACGTGTTATGTAATGTTTAGGTGTAAAGGATTTATTCATGTCAAATGAGATAACATATGTAAAGCACCTTTTAAACCTTAAAGCACTATGTAAATGCTAGATATTAATTTGTAATTTCAGCATTTTGTACTCTTAGGGGTTTAAAACAAGGCTAATAATTCTGTCATGCCATTTTGTAATTAAGCATTCTTTTAAAATATTAAAGTGATCAGCAATTGATTGCCCATCTTCAGCCATCAATTTTCCATAGATTTAATGCTTTTAGTTACATAGCTTTCTGATATAGTATATAAATTGTATATCATCTGTTACAGAATGTGCTACTGGTTAAAGGTAATATAAATTTCTGGAGTTAGAACAGAAGGCATCTGTCCAAGAAGGTGTGACAAAAAGAAGACTTTCACGTATGAAATTATTAAAGAGTTCTGAGGCTAGTTGGCAAGGAGTAGCAGAAATATTGGGGTAGCTGGGTGGGCCTGGAGTCAGGAAGACCTGAGTGCAAATCTAGCCTCAGATACTTACTAACTGTGTGACCCTAAGCAAGTCACTTAACCTTGTTTGCCTCAGTTTCCTTATCTGTAAAATGAGTTGGAGAAGGAAATGGCAAACCACTCAAGTATCTTTGCCAAGAAAACCCCAAATGGGGTCATGGAAAGTCAAACACAGCTGAAACGACTGAGTAACAAATCAGAAAGATAGAGTTGGCAAGTTAATAGGCTATAACCACACAGAGTTTATGGAATCTTGTTAAAAGGGAAGGAAAAATGAGAAAGGACAGGTTTTCATGACATTGGCACTAAAATCAGAAATGGGGTTTCATTTGTGTGTAAAATAATTAGAAAATTATTTGCTCATGACATTTACTAAGAACATTATGAAAATGGGAGGAGAAATAAGAGAAGGGGGGGAAAGATTGAAAATTAGATTTCATTTTTTAAAAAGTACTTGCAAAGAAGTTTAAATGTGATGATTTGGGGTTTGTTATGTTTGGAAATAAAATTGTAAATGTGTCATTAAATCTATTTGAAGTATGTACGGCATAGAAATACTTCAGCGAATTCACGATTGCATCAGTGTAGCTACCTTCCAGGACGGCAGATTGCAACCCATAATAAATGTGTATATTGGCAATCCAATATGTAAATAGCTCTTGTAATAATTTTTTCAAAATCTCTGGTCTCCCTGAAAATCTTCAAGAAAAGAATACACAGTCATCTCTTTTGAAGGCAGAAGATGGGGCTAAGTAACCCTCTAGGTACCATTTAAACTGTAGAATTCTTTTGTACCCATTCCTCTGATTCTGTGATACACTGTGCAGTTTAAACAAGATCTGATTTTTCAATGTAAAATTTACTCACTCAGTACTTAGCCCAATGAAGCTGTACATTTTCAGGAGTCAGAAGAACTGGACAATAATGGGCTTTGTTACTATGTCCTTCTTGTGCCTTTGAAGCTTCTAATCTATACCCCAAACCAAAAGCCACCCTTGATTTCCTAAACTGCTTAGTGAGTTTCTTTTCCTCACTTAAAAAAATTGCACAAAGGGCCTTCAGTGAGCATTTGCTGAGTAATTCCTCCAACTTCGACTTCTAGGTAGCATAGCAATTATGTGAAGGACAGTGATAATTAAGGAGTACCTGATTGTACTCCCTTTCTCCGATTGTTGGCTAGTTTTCAACATAATTAAATATGCATGTTACAGCACATATGTGGAAACCTGCCTATCTGCAAACAATTGATTTTATCTGTAAATAGTCACTTGGGCTTTACTCAGGTTTGGAAAGCCATTCACAGGCATTCAAAAACAATGGAAACATGGCAAATGAGACTTAAAGTAATATGAAGTTAGTATGACAAGCTCATCAGAATACATAGAATGCAAGGATGCCCCTTTCTCCCACTGCTATTTGACAGTTCTAAAAATGCTAGTGTTGGCAATAAGTCAAACGGAAGAAATTAAAAGCATAAACTAGGCCAAAAAAAAAAGGAAAAAACTGTCAAATTATCTATACTTACTGATGTGATGGTTTACTTAGAAAACCCTAAAGAATCAGCTAATTAATGAATTAATACAATTAATTGCTTAGTAAACTAGCAAGATACAATGTAAACCCACCAAAAAAATCAAACTGAATGAAAGTTGACAGCAGCCACCAGCCTGCTTTTATATAACATTTTTAGCATGCCTGCCTCAGGTCAGTCATCAGGCACCCATAAAATAGGAGATGAAGATAAAACCAAGTGAATACAGAAAAGGAAGATAGAGTCTAAGTATAAGGCTCATATTGTTTGCAGCCATCCTAGCACCCTAAGCTATCTATTCTACACATTTTTCTATTTCTCTTCCCCACCCCCAACCCTATTCTTTTCAGTGAAGAGGCTAAACAGCATCCCCTACCCCTGAACAGCTCTCTTTCAACTACCCTCTTCGTCATGCTATTGGCTAAAATATTTTACTTTGCTTTTTTTTGCTTCATATCTATTGAACTGATCTCCTACCCATTAGAGCTGTAGAACAACAAATTAACATAAAAACACTGTCAGGGGGCAGCTGCGTGGTGCAGTGGATAGAGCACTGGCCCTGAAGTCCGGAGGACCTGAGTTCAAATCCCCCCTCAGACCAAACACTTGACACTTAGTAGCTGTGTGACCCTGGGCAAGTCACTTAACCCCGATTGCCTAAAAAACAAAACAAAACAAAACAAAACAAAAACACTGTCAGTAACTTTGTTGCCCTTTTCTTTGAAGTCTTAAAAAAACAACAACCAAACATTCATGTACATCTGGTCACGGGCAGTGAATATAAAAAAATGGGTGTGTGTGTGTGTGTGTGTGTGTGTGGATTTTGCATGCTGTGTAAGCTGGGTAACATATTATGGATCTTAACTTTGAAGTCCATCTAATTGGTTTCTCAACCTGCTTTCCTTGTTTCATTTCAGGCCTCCAAGTAGAGAGAATTTCCATCCTCCTCCACCTGTTCCACCAAGAGGCCGCTGACTCCTCCTCTACCATCTTCTTTAAATAGGACTTTGGAAGAAAAGCAAGCGATTTCCAGCTCCTTAATGATGTCATCACTGACTTAATGTTGGATTGTACTGATATTTCTCCTGGCCTTAAGATATATAACAAGGTCAGACTGGGCTGTCTGAAGAAGGCACTCCTTTGCTGCCAAGGACTGGGAAGCCAGGAACTTCATTTCCTCTTAAACAAGCTGAGTGAGAAGTTCCTTTGTTCCCTAGAAGACAGAAGACTTGGTTGGAATATGTGCCTTTCATTAGGGGATCTAAAAAAACCCTCTAAGAATATTCATAAAAATGTGTTTTTAAAATTTATTTTACTGGCATGTTCTTTTAATGCATCTTCAGAATACTCATATGTAAAATGAGTTGCCAAGCAAGGATTACAGCAAGTGAGAGGATTCTGTACATAAATCTCAGGGGTGTGAGCATCTAACTACCCGTTTGCTTTTAAAACAACAATTCTGTCCAGTGAACATTTAGTTATATTAGGGAGTCTATTAGCCAAGAGTATTAGGAGTTATCAATAATAACAGTAATAATAGGTAGCACTTATATAGCTCTTTAAGTTTTACAAAGCATTTTACAAATATCTCATTTCGTTTTCATAACAACCCTGGGAGGTAGGTGCTATTATGATCCCTATTTTACATGAGCAAACTGAGGCAAATAGAATCTACCCAGGGTCACATATTGAGTTCAGATTTAAACTCAGGTCTTTGGGACTTCAGGTCCAGGGCTCTATTCAGTGCACCACTTAGCTGTAGAGATACCAGTCAGTACTCTGAGTCATAGTGAAGGGAGTGAATTGGTATTGTTGAGAGTGTTCTTGACTTCTCTGCCATTTTCAAGCCAGGAGTGGTAGAGGAAATCCCATAGTGGGCATGGGTTTCTCTGTTTGCTTTCACTATTACTGGATTTGAGCAGGATGCCAACTTCTGTGGGAGAAGGGAGATTGTTTTATGTGGGGAAAAATAGTAAAAGCATTAGAGTTTTTGCTTATTAATAATGATAGTGATGATAACTGACAACTACATAGCACTTTAAGGTTTGCCAGGAGCTTTCCAGGCACTATCTTGTGGGCCTTCCAACAACCTTGCAAGGTAACAACTACAAGTATTATTATGCCCATTTTACAGATGAGGAAACAAAGTCTCAGGATCAGTGACTTACCTATGATCACACAACTAGTAGTGACAGAGGTGGGGAACTGGATCCAGGTCTTCCTAACTCCGTGTTCAGCATGCTCCTACTCCACACTTCATAGTCATACATTCCCATCTCAAAATAACTAAATTTGAGCATCTTATTTTGTTAAAACAGAGAAACAGCATTTTCCCCCACATTCCTATAAGCTGTATCAGAATTACCTTTTGCTTAGAAATCTCATCCTCTCCCTTGAACTCTAAAATTACTCTCATTCTGGGCTTTGTCAACTTCTTTTTAACATTGTTCCCCTCGCCTCTTAATGTGCATATATCCCAATAACAATAGTATTAAAACTCTGAACAATTATGCTTTGCTGGGTGAATCTTTGATGATAAAATGCTCTTTATTTCTTTGATCACCCCTCATGACATAACAGCTTCACTCATTTTGTTACAGGGCAGACAAAGACTCTTGATTTGACTTATGCCCAAGTTGTTAATCCTTCCTCAACAGTAATTTTGTTAAATTACAAGTCAAAATGCTGAATACCCTCCTTTGCTTCAAAATAAATTGGTGAGCATAGAAGGGTGTGACTTGGAATAAACACAGCTTAGGTTTTCTGATCTTTTTAGACATTAAAACAGATTGACTGTTGACTGTATCACTTGTTTAGATGAAATATTTTTGAGGACTTCTTATTTCCTAAATGTAGTCAGAGAGTTGCTTAGCAAGGTTAAATGACTTATCTGTGGTTTCAGGGCAAATAAATGTCAAAAGTGGGATTTGAACCCAAGCCTTCCTGGCTCCCAGTCAGTCAAGTATTCCATTCATTGAATTGCTTCTCTTCAGATGCTAGTGAGTAAACCCTGAGGGACTGGAGGGGGGGGGGCTGTCTTTTTAATGCTCTTTAATGCCTTTTTAATGCTCTTTCTACTGCTTTTTAATGTTCATACATTAGCCTGCACTGCTGTGCTTCCCTTTATGATTATCAATTGATGTTAATTAGTCAGATGGAAGCTCTACTCCTCAGTCCTGCACCCACCCTAAAGTAATTTCCTCTCAGAGATTTGGCTGGAATTCTATCAATTTTCAGCTTTCTCTTGAGGGGAAATATGTCACCATAGAATGCAAAGGGAAATTAAAGTGGTAATGTGATAGGATTGCTCCTATCTTTTTCCCTTCAAGAACTCAGAAACTGAAGACTTGGGATATCTGGAGAAGACTTTTTAACAATGACAAACACAGCTGTAGGAGTTATCACCTATATTCCCCTAGTCCCATCACAGGCTAAGGTTGAGCAAGTGCCATGAACTTTCCAATTTGGGGAGTTGGGGAAGGCTTCATCAGGAATCTCCTATCCAGGTAAGAACAGGAATTGTTTTGTTTTGAGCCAAGGTCAATAATCTACACACAAGGTACAGAGCTGAAAGGCCAGAGGCAAAAGGTAGTGTCCAGAGTCGAAGCAAGGTCAAAGCCATAGATCAAATCAAAAGTAGTGAGAAGTGAAGTCTGGGGTCAAGTTACAGGGGTTTGTTACCAAGGATAGAGGTGGGCATGGTTTAATGGATAGAGTGATGGACTCAGGAAGATCTGAGTTCAAATCCAACCTCAGACACTAGCTGTACGACCCCAAGTCAATACCACTCTGAGCCCAAATTACTGGTCTGTAAAATAAGTGGGAGGAGGGGTGAATTTGAGCTCAATCCATGATCCTGTGGTTATGAAGTTGGATAACAATGCTATCCTTGATGTTCTGCGGGGCCATTTATGTTTCTATATCTGGCCTCTTAAGTGGCAGCTAATGTTACTGCCATTTCCCCATTCTAGGCTAGATGGAAAGAGATGATGTCTACAATAGCTTAGGCTATTGCCTCTGCCACTGACTCCACCAGAAGTCACAGGCTTTAGCCCCCAAGTTGACTTAAACACTGAGAGTAATGTTTCTCTTTAATTTAAAAAAAAATTTTTTTAACAATAGACTTAAGTCTGGGAGCACATGAATGAAGGTTAGCTACGACAGATGATGTGTATGAAGCCCTTTATGGTTTACCAAGTGCTATGTGTACATTATTTCAGTTTATTGTTATGATCAAATAATAATAATAGCAAGTACTTATACAGCACTTTAAGGTTTCAAAAGCGCTTTACAAAGATTATCTCATTTTATCCTCTTAACCACCTTGGGAGGTAGGTACTTATTATTAGCCCCATTTTACAGATGATAAAATGGAGGCAGACAGAGGTTAAAGGATTTGCTCAGGGGCACACAGATAGTAAGTGTCTGAGGCCAAATTTGAACTTCAGGTCTTCCTGACTTTGGGCCCAGCATCCTATCTACCACACCACCCAGTTGCCTCTTGTCTGTTAAGACTAACAAAATTAATCTAACCCTTAATGTTATGAATAATCATTATTGTGCCTTATAGTAAATAGTACAAATGATAAGAAATTTGTGAAAATGAATATAATTTGTGTTAATTTACACAGGTGGGCCAAGTTCTTACAATTTTTCTCTTCTTGATTTGTTTTCCAATATTTATAAAGGGCCGGTTGATGATTTTTCCTGATTTACTGTATCATCTTTGATTCTCACCTTATTCTAGAACCTTCTAGTTTACAAAAATTTTTCATCATAATACCGCTGGGAAGTTGACTGCACAAATACCATTATTCTCATTTTACTGAGAAGGGAAACAAGTCACAGAGAAATTGTTACTTTCCCTACCATCACACATGTTCACATTTGGAGGTCTTGAACTCCAGCTCCAGTGCTCTTTCCATTACCTTACTGTCCCATACAGAAAGTACTAGACAGGAACTCCTAACAGTGTGGTTACTTAAGGTTCAAGGCTAACATTCCCTAGACTTCTTCCAAGGATGTTTAAGGGGTCTTGGAACAGTTGCTCATTTCTAGTCTGAAATGATCAGCCCTAAGTATTCTGGGTATCCAAACCCTTGAAGCAATAGGAACTGTGGCCATAATGCTCTGTTTAATTATTTTAGAGTTCTTTAAGCTCCCTTCCCGTGCTAGCTACACCTCTGATGTGAGGGCTAGCCTACCGCACCCCCACCTTTTTTTTTTTCAACAGGAGCAATTTAATTATTTGACTTTGACATACAGAATCTATAAGAAACTCCCATAAATTTGTAAGAGCAGCCAATATCCAGAATTGTAAAAGTAAAGCACATTTTACTAAAACAGATAACAAATTTTAAATGTGAAACATTCAACATCATTATTGATCAGATTACCACCAAACATCCATTTTAGGCCTCTTCCCAAAGTCCCTCCTTGTTGCTGATTTTTTTTTTTACCTTTGCCAAAGCCTTCAGATTTTTTCTTAAATGTAAAACAGGGTGTTTGTTTATAAAGATGGCACTTATCAGAAGAGTCAGGGGGTCCATAAATCAGACATCATGAGTCAACGAAAAAAGCATTTATTGAACTCCTATTCCTATACTCGGTGCTATACTCAGCACTGAGGATAACAACTAGAGAAAGACAGTCTATGGTCAAGCTCACACTTGGGGAGAAGATAGCATATTAGAGAGTTCAGCTCCTGGGTAAATGAAAAGACTTAAAAGTCCTAAGAATGCACCAGAGGGGCAGATTGCATGACTGACGCAGGCATCTTTAGAGTGTCCTTAGGTCAGGTGATAGTGGGAAACTGTTGGTCATGCCAGCAGGGCAAGGGGTAAAGCCAGGAAGTCCTTAGAAAGCAGGGCAGATGGTAAGGTTTGTTCATCTTACCTGAAGGAAAAGTTGACAACTCCCATTAACCCAAGTCATGTGAGCAATCACACAGTCTGGACTGGTTTCTAGGTGGTCTGGGGCAAGAGCTGAGCAAGTCAGAGTTCAGTTGGATCTGATAGAGATGAGGATATCTGCCTTTCTCTTATTAGTAGTACATGTAAACAATTCTATAGTTGTTTATAGTATGTATTTTTTTGTTAATATTATTAAAAAATTAAAATAGCACATAGAAAAACCAAGAAAGCAAGTGAAGAAAATAACCAAAGACAGCCATGGAATACAAGGGGGAAAAGATAAAGAGAAAATGATTTGGAGATTATACTGTAAGGTTAAACAGAGTGACACTTTAAACTAAATTTCAACATTTGCAAGTATTGATTGAGTCTTCTTACTTCTTTCCAGTTGCTTTTCT